CAACCCCCTTGATAAATTCATCTATGAGACCGAAACCTGTCTGATGTGGAATCGGAAAGAGAAATTAATTTTCTCTTTGGAGGGTTTTCGCCTGTGAGCGGCGGAAAATGCCATGCCAACTCAGCCCTGATTTGAAACAAAAGTGTCAAGTTTGGTACTGAGAAAGCCTTGGCTCTAACCTTTACGCCATGCTGCCAGTCAAGGAAGGGAGTAGGGGCGCAGTTTGGGGGTAGATGTTACTCAAGGTCCTAACAACAACCTTACTGTTTAACCTCCTCGATGTTACCCCAATCATAATAATATTATATAATATGAGCCCTCAGCGGTGCATATGGTCAGGGTGGAGTGGGTGTGAAACCTCGCCAGTGCCCGTGAAACTGCTCGCGTGGCGCTCCAGCACAGAAACGTTTATGGGTAGCTCTAGCCAGACAACAGAGGTGTGAAATATCCTTGACCAATGTCTGCCGCCCTGATCGTACGACTAGCTGACAAAACAGTTCCTCGAGTCGTTGTTACTTGCACGGGAGTGATGGCTTTGGTTGACTGTGCTTATTCCTCCGACGGGTGGGGCTAAGGGTGGAGGCAAAGGAGATGTTCAGAAGCTTCTGTTTTTAATGGGTCAAACAGTGGTCCAATGAAATGCAAGTACGGGTGGCAATGGATAAGCAGGATAGACGCAGGCCAATAAACATGTACAACAATGAGTTCGAGAGGATAGCACTTGAGAGGTGTGAAGTTTTGACCACTGCTTGCCGACCGAACAGCGACCCTTGATCCCACCGACAGGGTTTTTGCCCCCCCCCCCCCCCCCAACCCCAAAAGGAGAAAGAAACGGACGGATCAAAACGGAAAACGGGCTTAAAGCTAAGCTCACTGACTCTATCTGCATCCCCATCTTGACCTACCAATGCCAAACATGGACCTTGACCAAAAGTCTGGAACGTAAGATAACTGTCTGCGAGACGAGGTGTCTTAGGAGAGCCGTCAACAAAACCAGATGGGACATGATCAGAAACAACGAGATCAGAGATATGGTGGGAACAACACCAGTCCTCCACTATATTCAGAGGCAAACAAACAGGTGGTTTGGAATTCTGATATGTATGGCACCTCATCAGCTTGCCAGTAAAGCGTACTGCAAAAGAATACCAGGGTACAAAGCAAGAGGAAGACTAAGGAAGACCTGGATCAAGTGTGTGAAAGATACACTGAGAACACACAACATCCCACCCAGCCCGGCCATC